TCACAGCCATCGAAATCTTCACCACCAAAGCAGATGTCGTCTACGAACGACCGGCGGCACCAACGTTGACTCATCGGGTTCTCCATTCTGAAACATGTCGGCGATAGGGTCGTTGACCGGTTGTATTACTGGGTCCATGACCACCGATGCCTCGCGATCTGCCTGGAACTTGGTTTGAAATGAACCATCGATGCTGGTCGCTCGACGTTCTTTGGCCTTTTCTTCAGCTGTACTCATCAGCTCCGAGTATTTACGCCATCCTCCTTTAGGCTGGCCGAACCCCCACAACGCGTTATCGATCATTCGTTGGTATATCATAGGAGCGTTTTTTAACCCAAAGGGCATCCTTAGCCATTCGAAGTGCCCTAATGCACAAACAAACGCAGACACTTTACGCGCTCGTAGTGTTATCATGATGGCCCAAAAACCGTTGGCAGCATCCAGCGAGCAGAACCATTGGTAGCTCTCGAGGTCTGTCAACAGGTCGTCCACCAACGGCATTGCATACTCCATGATTGCGGGGATGACATTCACCATCTTGTCATCGATGCAGAGTCGTATATCCAGACCATTCTTTTTCATCTGATCGGCGACGCCCATGGACCCTCCGAGAAAAGATGAGCCCAGCTCTAAGCAAGGCTCTTAACAACTCGTACATTTGCCGAGGTGGCGGAGCGGCACATGTCGAGCATGCTGTTTAATAGGGGCGTGCCCCTGTGTGTCGATGCCGCACACCACACCGTACACCGGTGGCGGTAACGAGTTGTCACTGGCAATGAGGATTCGTTCGTTCTTCTTCAGCGTAGCGACCAGTCGTTCTTGCTGATCAGTCGTTAAGCATGAGTTCTTGACATTCGGTGCTTCATAGTCGATGGTCGTGTTGGAATCTTCCGTGAAGTCGGGCAGGAACGCTAACTCCCTCGCATAGTCTTCCAAGCCGATTTTGTTAGCTGGGTGTTCGTAAAGGTCCACCCCTGGATCGCCAGCAACCTCATTTCCTTCGGTCGTCAACACTCGAGCTACCGATACGTAGGTCTTGTCTAGCACGGTCATCGCGTCCTCTGCCAACTTATCCTCGACTTGAGACTCCACACGAACACTCGCCCTTGCATGCGTTTCCTTTTGTGAGGTTTGCACTTCCTCTCGACCGGCCATCGTGCTTTCTCTTTCACTAGCTGCAATGTAGGAGACTGATGAGTCACTGTCGCGACGCTTGATACCCGAGACCATCTTGGGATCACTAGTCACTGCACTTGATGCATCACCTTCGGCGCCTGGCACCGACTGAACCCTCGTTGATACGTTCATCACCTCTATTATACCTTGTAATTCCTGTAGGCATCTTGCCGACTCCTCGTTGGCATCGCTTGCTTGCTGAACCGCCATCCGACGAGTCCCCGGAGAGTCGCACCTCGAACAAATCTTTGCCTATCACCCCTGAGTCCAGACGACCCTCATCGCACTCTCGTTGCTCCAAAATCTTCTCCCAACGCTCGGCACATGTCAGACGATCCGTCGATACGTCCAACGCGTCTTCAGGCG